TTACCTTCTGCATTTACAACCATCGTTCCAATAACTCCTTTATGGCTCTGTATCCTCTTTAGGGTTTCCTCCACCTCTGCCTGGAAGAGATCAGGATGGCCATTAAGCAAAGGGGTCTTTGTGATGACCCCAGTCCTAAAGAGAACGATGTTCTGTAAGGCCCCTCCTCCCCTATCTTCTTAACCTAAGGTACTGGATGCTATAATCTCCGACTTTGGGAAGAGAGCTTTGAAACTGTCAAGCCCCATAGAGAAGCCTATGTAAGACCCCCCAACATACAACCCTGACAAATCTCTTGGCCTGAACTCATCTAGAGACAGAAAGCATATTGCCTCATGAGGGCGCACTCCATTTTTATCTGACCCTATTTCCTGGAAAAGTATTCTTGACTTTGAACAGAAATCTGCTCCTGGTCATCTTTCTCTCATTAATCTTTCTGTATTCATATGAAAAATTCCTTTTCCACATTATCGTACTTTAAATATTTATAGATTCACTGCTACCCTCTGTCTAAAAGTATCCCTTAATGAGAAATCTTACTTTCAGTCCTAAATGTTACTTAATTGGGAGTTCAGATTATTCAGTTCAGGATATTCTGTAAAAATGTATTCCAGGATTCCAGAATTCTCTTGGTAATGATAGCCTGGGTCTCTGTGCAAGCTGAAATGTTCAGCCATGAATGATTATGTTGGAACCCCATTATTGGGTTTTAAACTCAGCTTTCTGAATGAATCTTATGCATAAACTATATTGTATTAGTTTTCTTTCCTTCTATAAATGTTAAAATCAAGAATAATCTTTTTCAAACCTGCATATTGTTCATAATTGAGTCATCACTGGATATTCTGAATTCAAAGAGTGTTCTGCAGAGTCTCTTGATGAGTGTTTGTGATATTTTTCTTCCCAACGTCTTACAGGTGAACATTATGTTATTTTAGTCAAAAGAGTTTTTGTTTGCATCTAATGTGGGCAGGAAAACTTGTTTTCTCTTTTATTACCACTAGAGCAGGTGTTTTCTGAATTTTTAGATTCGCGATTTTTGCCATTATGAATACCATCTGTGTCATTTATCTAGTACGTTCTTTAAACGATCTCACTGCTTAACGCTTAAACAAATGCATTTTAAAAAGAAACTCTACATCACTACCCCAAATGGAAATCTGGTATCATTTGTCATAAACAGAAATAACCATGAACAAGAGGAGGAGGGAGAATATATTATTAAATTCTACCCTAATGAAATCGTTGAGCCTGAGGTCTGTACTTTAGTGAAAAATCGAAATCACTAAATGGTAGTGGTATTAGCGACCTAATAGTGCCAGAAAGTTTCTCCTGGATATAGTCTAAAGGATGGGAAAAGAAAGAAAAGAAATGAAAGAGGAATAACTTTCTTAGATGTGATTCACTCTGTTATTGGGTTGTTGGAAAAGTCATGACANCAAATGATAGATTGTTAGAAATGTCAAGAATATTTAAAAGTGAGAGTCTACAGAAATCAGGCTTATATACATAAGAATAGATGACAGAGGAAATATATATATATATATATATATATATATATATATATATATATATATATATATTCACCAGTAGCTAATTCAGTGATCAGTGTTGTAATATTGTAAATAATGAATGGTTTTATACATGGGAAACCAATGTTAACAAATAATCTACTCTAATAAAAACCTATACCACTCAGCATTGGGCTAAATTGATAAATCTACTTTATTGTCATAAATAGGAAGTCTATGTTTCAATAATGGTGGAACCAAAAAACTCTATTTAACATGGCATATGATGAAATCTAAATGCATAAACATGGCAGCAGACCTGCCTAACCACAAATAAAACCTGAAAATATGTTAAAGCGATTTGCCTAGAATTAGTGGACTAAAACCACTACTAGAGAACAAGAACACATACACATCATCTTAGGTAAATATTTTCAGTGTCAGATTTCATTGGGCTTCTGAAAGCTACAAAGCTGCGCTGTAATAAATGGCACTTTCATCTAAAATTGAGTAGGTTGTCGAAATGGAGTATTTTATTACATTCTGGTCACACAACTTATACTACATGCTATTAACAAACATCCTTGTCATACACTCTGGTTATTAATAATCTGACCATAAACATAAGCCCCTCATTTATATTTTTGGGAAAAAGGTTAATTTGGATTTCAAAAAAGTGCCCTGAATCCGAATACAACCTTATCATCCTACTAGAGGTTAATTAGAAGTTAATGGGTATTAAAAATATTTTGTTGCCTTTGGATAAGAAAAGTGTTGAGAAACCTCAGGAAAATAAAGTAAAAATCACTTTTTAATTCCACCACTCAATGATAATCACCATAAAATATCCCAGCCTTTTCCCCACCATATGTAAGTGTTATGTGTGTCTGGCTATATTTATGATTAGAAAATGCTGGTTACTGCTTTCTTCCATGCTTTTTTCATCTAATATTGTGAGTAGTTTCCCATGACTCTAAATATTCTTCAACATTTTAAATAGAGAAATAGTTCTTCAAGTAAATATTACATAATAAACTTAAAATTTCTCCTACTGTTGGGATAGATTTACTTGTCTGTTTATTTATTGCTATTCTATACGATGCCTCAGTGAGTATCCTTTGTACCTGAATCTTTTCTTCATCACTTCTTAGGATAAATCCCTAGGGATGAAATTACAGATCGAAGAGTATGGATATTTTTCAGACATTTGATGCATAGTGTCAGGATTACATACTTTAGACTACGATCTTCCAAAGGAACACATTAGATGAGTTATCCTGGATGTCACAGGTGAATGCACCTGTACTGGGTTGAATAGTGTTCCCCTCAAATTTAGGTCTACCCTAAACCCCAGAATGTGACCTTATTTGTAAATAGGGTCTTTGCAGATATAATTAGTTAAGATAAGGTCACTCCGGATTAGAGAGGACCCTAACCCAATGACTGGTGTCGTTATGAGAAAACAGAGACACAGAGAGGAGAATTCCACATGATGATGGGGGCATAGATTGGAGGGATGTATCTACAAGCCATGAAATGCCAAGGAATGCTGGAAACCACCAGAAGCTGAGAGACAGGCAAGGAGGGATCTTCCTATAGGGTCTTCAAAGACAGCCTGGCCCTGCTGACACCTTGATTTCAACTTCTTGCCTCCAAATCTGAGAGAGAATAACTATCTAATCTTTTAAGCCACAAAGCGTGTGGTACTTTGTTACCACACACCAAAGGAAATGAATACAGCACCTCTGCGAAGTCACGCAAATAACCCATCTTAGGGGGTGTGGCAGAGTTTATGCAAATACCCTGAACTAAAATCAGTTCAACCAGAACCATGCACTGGGGTTGGATTGCTTCCTGGAAATATTGAGCATAGCTCGTGACTTACCTGTAAGGCTGATCTCAAATCCACTCCCTCCTGATCACTCTAGCTGGGTAAATTTATTCTATTCATTTGACATTGAGTTAATTTTAATTTAATTACTTTGTAAAACACATCAAATGTTTTTTATCAGTACAAATCAATTAAAAATTTCCCACGTTCTCAGAATTATTTATTTATAATTTTCTTAAGTGTTTGGTGTTGTGGCAGGCACTTGACAATTATTATTTCGCTTAATTATCACAACCATCAATAAAGTAGGTTATTTTCCATTTTTAATGATAAGGGATTGAAGTTCAGAGTTTAAACAGACTTTCAGTTGGTAGTTGCTCAATAAATATTCATTGATCGATTTGCTCCAAACTAGTGCTTAGCTGTGAGACTGTTGCCAATCCCATGGTTGCGCCATGGTTTATGTCAAGTAACTACTCGTATTTCAATGAGTACACTGAGATTTGTGGCACCTCTTGCCCTTACAAATGCCTGACTTAGCAATGAAACCAGCAAGAGCCTTTAAGAGGCTGCCATGGCTGAGCATGGAGCAGTGTGCCAGAGAAATGCTTTGTGGATTAATAGGGACATTTGGAGCGAGAGCAAGTTTCAGGTGTAAGTCTACAGATTTCATAGGTGGAAATGTATTGGCCCTTCTTATGCTATAACCACAAAGACTATACTGTAAATTACATTATTATCCTCAAAGATTTTATTAATTATGGTACAGGAACAGTTTCGTTTAAAATGAAGACTGAGGGCCGGCCGAGTGGCGCGATGGTTAAGAACTCGCTTGGGATGCCAGAGGGCCCCNCATGATACAATTACAGAAATGAAGGACAGATTAGTGGTTGCCAGGGGTCAGAGGTTGGAGGATTGGTGCTGAAGGGCACCCTGAGCGACCTTGGTGGTGATGGAAATGTTTGGTATCTAGACCGAGTCAGTGCCTATTTCCTGCTTGTGACATTGTACTACAGTTTTGAAAGATGTTGCTGTAATAGGAAACTGGGTAAAGGGTACCAGGAGCTCTACGTCATTTTTTTTTACAATTTCACATGAATCCTCAGTTATCTAAAAATAAAAAGTTTAATTTAAAAAAAAGAGAGGATATAAGGCAAATATGGAAAAATATTAACATCTGTTCTATATCAGTGTTGGAAATCTGTTATAGTTGTTGTATAACTTTCATTATTTTCTGATGTTCAAAATATCTTGTGAAAATATAAAACCCTCTGGAGTTATCTAGTCAGGCTTTGAAGTATGCACCCTTGCCCATCACCCACTGCTGGTCCCCTCAGCCTAGGATAATGGAAGCACAGTTCTGAGGAGCTTGGATGGGAGGTGGTGCTCAGCTGTGGTGCCGACCCAGCTGAGAGCCACCCTTTTAGCCTCTTACTGCCCTTATTTAACCTGGAAAAGCACCTAACACTCCTGGAGGGCTGGGACTTCCCTGGTAGTTCCTGCAGTGCTCAACTGGATGTCCTTGGCATGTTAACAAAATGGGCAAACATATTTCCATACTAACTCTTGGTGACAGTTACTTCTAGACTCACAGAGCTACAGCAAGGAAGGCTGTCTTCTCATTGGAATCCTTCATTTGTGTATTATAAGAAAAGAGACATACATACCAGAATTTATTGATTATATAGCTAAATCACAACTTTACATTCAAAAGGGACTAAATGAGACATGTAGAATAGAGTAAGTGTAAAAATAGAAAAGAATGTCTAGAAGATCAGTTAGCTTGGAATAGAATCCTACTAATCATTAGAGTCGAAGTGTTTTCAACTGAGTGTCACAGGAGAGACTTGGCCGTAGCAGGGTTATTCACAGGGATTCTGAATGACAATCAGGAGATATTCCTTATCTGTGGAAAGATATGGACAAAATTAATCCACTCTAAAAATTAAATGTAATAAATGAACACTGCAGCTAATCTGCTTTTCTCTTTGAAACATCACTTGGGCCCTGTGTCAACCAATGGTTTCCCACCCTGGTTGCACATCAGAATCACCTGTCGAGTTTTCTAAAAATGTCATTACCTGGGGCCCATCTTCAGAGATTATGATTTCATTGGTCTGGGGTGGAGTCCAGGTATCAACGATTATTTCCGTAAAGCTCTCCAAGAGATTCTAGTGTGCAGCCAGCGTGAGAACACAGACATAGAAAAGGCTTTAGTTTATAGGTAATTCTGATTTTACAGATGCACTATGATAGAGAAGATAGTTCTATTCTAGACTAGATTTAGGAGGATGAGTTCTATTTTACACTGACATATGCCAACACTGTGAATGTAATTCCTTCAAGGAAAGGAGTATTTGGTGGCCGCTGTCTTTTGGTAGGCCAGGTGAATGTGAGCTCCCCACAGGGGGAGTTTAAAACTCTACAGGCCTCTGAGCCATCCTCTGCTTTATCTCCTGGACAGGAGACATTTCTCCCACTTTTCAGGAACTCTATGCTAACCTCACCTAACCTGAGACCTACATCTCCTAAATTTTTTGATTACTACTAATAAATGCAAGTGGGCAAAATTCAACTTCTTCAAAGGTCACATTCAACGTTAATGTCACAAAATTTTCAAGTTGGAATTTTCAGATTAAAAAAAAGTCTTCATTTTCTAATTGAAGAACATTAGGTGTCATATTGCATATCAAAATCTATACTGCTCGTTATTTGAAACAAAGCTTTTTTTTTTTTTTTTTAGCTGAGCCATCCTGCCACCTGTTGGCAGCTCAGCTTGGGCCAGGAATCGAACTGGCAACCCTGTTGCTCAGAGCTCGCACTCTTGGGCACGCTCTTAACCAACTGAGCCACTCAGCAGGCCCTGAAACAAAGCTTTTATACACTAAAGTAGAAAGTTGCTTTAACTATGAAACGAAATGCCAGATTACCTGGAGCTACCATGATTTCATGTTTCTTTGATCTGATCCTCAGAAAAGTTAGGTCGTTCTGAGGATCAATATCACGGACTGTGCTCTTGGTTTTCATTGTCAGTTGATGAAGAAGACCTGCGTATTGAACAGTTGTCGAGTTGTCCATGGTTGTTCTGATTGGAATGCCTATTATGAGATTTAATTTTGGGTTAACGTTTTTTTCTGATTATAAAAGTAATGTGCACATTGTAAAAATATTGGAAAATACTGATAATTGTTAAGAGGAAGAAAAAGTGATGGCTGATATACCTGCTGGCAACAATTGTAGTTTATTTCCTTCTAATCTTTTCATCTTCACATGGATTTTAAAATACAGTTGGGTCAAACTATAATGATAAATGTCACTATTGCCTTTTCCTTCATTTAAATGACAGTGTACAAGTTGTCCTTATGGGTGACACTGTGATCAGCATGATTTCAAATGGCTGTACACTTTATTATTTTATGGATAGATCATAATATAATCATTCCCCTATTGTTGGATTGTCAGGTATTGTGCTTTTGTTTTTTTAAGTAGTGGTGTGAATATTCCTGTGCACAAACCTTTTGGCAGTTGTAAATGATTATTTCAGTACTAAGTGAACATATTACAATACAAAATATAATTCCCCAAGCATCCTATCTATAGTGAGTCTGCTTTGAAATGCTTGGTCTGTGACATGGTGCTAGTTTTCTCCCTGAGGCCAGAATTAGAAGGGGATGTCACTGTACATGCTAGAGAGTGTATCAAAAGGGAATTTCAAAATATCTTCATAACAGACAGTCTTTACCAAGCCTTATATTGCTGTATTTTATATTAGAAAATACAGCAACAAAGACTCTGTGGATTTGCTGGGCCTTCCCTGGTTTTCACTCATTGTTGCTTTAAGCATTATTAAATTTGGCTAGTTGTGTGCTCTTTTATTCCATTATATGAGTTTAAAACAGAACCTATTAATTTAACTGGAAAAATCTAGCCAGACAAATATGCAAGTGTAATTCAATTCAGTTCAATATTGCTCAATGTGGGTCACTTAGTTCTCAGTGCTTATTAAGTAACAGGTGCTGTGCTAGGTGTTTTACATATATTGTATCTAATCTGAGGTGGCCTTCATATTATTTAGAGAACTACTATATAGCCAGGGAGTTTCAGGGGTTTTATTTGTGAACGTGTCTTTAATTTAGGGGACATACGAAGGTGAATTTGGGATCGCTGTCAAATTCTTCAGGTACCTGAATTAAGGCCAATCAATAAAAGAGGCTAGCGTGGCTCTTAGTTTACCATCAGAGAATGTCATTCCAGAAACTTAAACAAGACGAGTGATTCAAGAATGCAATAGCATTACAAACTTAGCATTTTACCAGTTTTTCATGAATCTGTTCGAAAGCCTCCATTCCGACTTTGAAACAGACTTATTTCTTTCTAAGAGAATTATTAACTCCATAATAGGTCTTGCTAAACAACACAAGGACAATATTTACAGGAAAACCTATTCAATAAATAAGGCTTGATATAAAACTTGTTAATTTCTGTATTATTATTTGTTGGCCACTTTTTCCCCAGTTTTGACTTTTGCACCTGATGAAAAATCACAGGGCATGTCCTTTAACATGCAGGAAAGTGAAACGTAGCAGGCACTCAACCTTGTAAGAGCACTTTTTGACGAATAGCTTTATTTTGCATCCTGAGTTGTGACTACCTACAAAGTCTGCATTGCTCAATGTCAAAACAAGAAATACAGCCAGAATAAATTATTTAAAATGTAGATGACAAGATTATGAATCAGATGCTCAGGCCTATTTAGTTAGTCTATTCATGATCCAAGTCAATAAATAAAACAGCTAGCCTTTCTGAATAGCTAGTGCATACTATGCAATTCTTGGGAGTTTCTCGTATACCCTATGGACACTTGAATAAAAGAAGTCAACAAATGTTTATGGAGCTCCTGTTTGGTAACATGCAAGGTCATTAAAAAATAATTTTTTAAGGGGTAATGTTAGCACATGGTATAAAATTCACCCACTTCCCCTTCTGAGAAGTAACCACTGCTCCTGGTTTCTTGGGTATTCTTCCAGAGATCCTAAGTCTATTCAAGTATGTTTGTGTTTGTATTATTTAATTGTATCATTCTTTATTCTGTATCTAAATTTTTTTTCATTTAATATACTTGGGAAATGGTTCCCCTCAGTACACATAAGGCTAGGTCATTCATGTTAATGACTACGTAATATGACTGTCGAATGGATGCTTTGTGATATGCATAACTAATATATTCCCCTGACAGGCATTTACGCTGTTTCCAATTTTTGACTCTAATAAACAAGGCTACAGAATATGTCTTTGTACATGCCATTTCACATTTGCATGTATGTGTAGGACAAATTCATAAAAGGGAACTTCTAGAACAAAGGGTATGAATTTGATATTGCTGAATTTATGGCACTACTTTAAAATATGACTCTTTATGATCCCAGTAAGCTGGTTCTCTTCCATTGTACATTTGTACTTTGGTTGATAGATTATATTTCAAACATAAAAGGAGTTGGCTGGATGGCTGATAAAATCTAATGAAATTCAAATGATAGATTGTTAGAAATGTCAAGAATATTTAAAAGTGAGAGTCTACAGAAATCAGGCTTATATACATAAGAATAGATGACAGAGGAAATACATTTATATATATATATATATATATATATATA